AAAGAAAGAAAGAAAGAAAGAAAGAAAGAAAGAAAGAAAGAAAGAAAAGAAAGAAAGAAAGAAAGAAACATTCTTTTAGTCTGATCGTGCAAAAGAATAAATAATGTTCTTACAGTGCTTTGCATGGTGCTTTCAACACTGATATTAGCAAGAAAAAGCTCTGATATACAGTATGTATATATATATATATTTATGTATATACATGTGTATATATGAAGCTGTCCTGGTCCTCAGCCATACTCCACCCTAAGACTAGGACACCTGAGAGCTGGTCAGGTGCAGCTCAACACGTTTGCTACAGTAAAGTCTGCACTTGTCTTTTCAAGCAGATCGTCACAATTTTCCTAATTTAAGTAAATTGTGGAGCAGAGTAGGAACAGAAATTAAAAAGTGAAATGTGCAACCGTTTCAGTGAAAAGCTCAGAATACGTAGAACCGCAGCATCCTTAAAGGATGAAGCAATGTACACAGAAGACCTCTGGTTGTTTCTTCAATGAGGCCTTCGCATCGTGTCAGTCGTGCTCCTCTTACCAGACCCGATGAGCGGCAGCTAGAAAGTGACATCAGAAAAGTACAGTTTTCATTCCTTTATCCTTAAAAAACTCAAAACCAGAGTCCCTCTGCAGGCCAGTTCCAGAGTCTGTCCTCATCTGTTGGTCCTCGGCACTTCAAGTGATAAGCTGAGGCTCCCAGGACTGGCTGGCTATCTGGGGACGACACTGTGAGATGATCAGAGGTCCCGTCAGGCTCTGGCTGTCCAAGCAGAGACCGCTGACCATGTGCTGCAGAGCCATGCCTTTTGGTTTCCACTTCTGCAAAAATGAAAAAGATGGAAAGGATGAATACGTGTCTTTTAGTGCAGATGTCCTGGGACACCCTGAGCTCTGTAGTCCATGATGTGCCAAAGTTAGTGATGAGTAATGAGCTGAGTCAGACTGGGATTAGAGAATAAATTCCAGACGAGCTGGGGTCACGGTGGAGAACCGGCTGCACTGCACAGCAGACAGCCATCACACAAAACAAAAGCTTTCCTTTTTTCTGCTAAGTGCACCGAGTGTTCGACACAAGAAGGTTCAGGTGGTCGTTTGTGAACAGGCACTGCATGCAAATGATTTTTCTTTAAAAAAAATTCTGTTTTCATTTGTTCATGATCCCATTGATATTTAGTGTTCCACAACCTCCCTCCAATCCTGTTCACAGTTCACCACCAAAAGACAACGAGCTTAATTCACCCTCCCGAGACATGAACTCATAGAAGCCTTTACACTACTGTGATCTATTTTTCTTCCATATGTTGTCCAAAATCTTCCTCGTTCCACAATTTTTGTGCTATTTCAACAAATCACTAATCAAAAGATTCAGCTCTTTCAAGACAATCCTGCTATGTCTTCCGGTATTGATGCAACTTTAGCTTTTTGAAATATTTAGCCTTTTCTGCCATTTTTTTCTCATAGAAAATGAACCGACATCCTTCAAATCTTTAGATCTGTTTATTACCTTTTACTGCTCCTTTCTCGTTTTGTTCTGCTGCAGCTTCTTTCAGCTTTCTTGTGCAAATTTAAACTTTTCAGCTACTTTCAGCTGTTTTTTTCAGCTGTTTTGTGCTCCTTTTAGATTCTTTCTGCTAACTACAACATTTTCGTGCTTCTTCTAACTTCTTTCTGCTAATTTCAGCTTGTTATGCTCATTTTAGCTTATTTCTGCAAGTTTCAGCGTTTCCTGCTATTTCAGCTACTATTTAGCTGTTTTATGTTAATTTTAGCTGTTTCAATTAATACCACATTTTTTGCACTCATTTAAACTTTTTCCAACCTAATTAAAAAAAGGGCTCTCTCCACTTCCTTCTCGTAATTCAAGCTTCTTTCTGCCTTTTTTTTTTTAGCTACTTTTCAGCTGTTTTTGTTGCTAATTTCAATTTTCTTCAGATAATTTCCACAGTTTGTGCTCATTTCTGCTTCTTTCAGCAAACATGTTCTTTCTAATTTCTTCTGGTAATTTCAGGTTGTTTTAGCTTTTCAGCTACTTATTTTTAGAAATTATTTTGCTAATTTCAGTTGTTTTCAGATAAATTCAAACTGTTATGGTAATTTCTGTTACTTTCAGCCTAATTAACTTCTTTCTTCTAATTTCAGATTGTTATGCTCCTTTCAGCTTATTTCTGCTAATTTCAGCTTCTTCTGCTATTTAAGCTACTTTTTTGCTGTTTTGTACTAAATTTAGTTTTTTCAGCTAATTCCACAATGTTTTAGCTAATTTCAGCTCCTTCCACTTCCTTCTGGTAGTTAAAGCTTCTTTCTGCCTTTTCAGCTAAATTTTCAGCTATTTATTTTTTTTGTTAATTTCTACCTTTTTATCTAAGTTCCTAATTTTGTGCTAATTTCTGCTTATTTAAGTCTAATTCAGCAAATATGTGTTTTTTCTGCTTTCTTCTGCTAACTTTGACTTGTTCTTACATTTCAGCTACATTTCAGTATGTTTTTAGCTAATTTCAGCTGTTTTTCAACAAGTTATTCAGCAATAAGCATTCACACTGCATTTTCGCAGGAAATGTAATTTCTCTAGATCGTTCATTAATTTTTAACAAGTCTTTAATAAGATTTTGAACAGGGCTGGGAGTCAGGAGTCCTGAACGTTAGCTCGGTGGGCTGACACTCAAATGAATAAAACATGAGCCGCGGTTCTGATGGGGCTGGTCCCCAACCCTGATCCTCATGGTCCACAGTCCTCCATGTTTCAGGTGTTTCCCTGCTTCAACACAACTGACAGAAATAAACGAGTCACCGACTGGCTTCTGCTACGTTCCGAGCAGGTAATTCAATAATTAAAGTCAGGTGTGTTGAGGCAGAGAAACAGCAGAAAACATATTTGGATACAGAGTGGAAAACAGCTGTACTTGTTGTATTGTTACTGCTGGTGTCACTACAGCACACTGTAAAAACTATGCCCAGTTAAAGTGACATGTTGGTGCTATTTTTTATTTTTTTAACTGACCCTTTAATGTATAAACAACATCGTCTATAAACTTTGTGTTTTTCCACTTTTTATGGTTGGTTCAAGCACAGACGTCCTGCAGTTTTTCAAGTAGCCTTGAGTCAAAGTGATCCATGTTTTCTTTTTTATTCTTGCAGGACTGAATCCAAATTTAATCCTAAAAACCTAAGAGCGTCAATAAATCACTAAGACTAAAGAAAAAGCTGCTTAAATGTGTTCCAGGCAGTTTTCCAGAAGAGAGATCAGGAAGTGTCTGGCTGATGTTGGTGATGGACCATCAGGGAACAAATCAGTGATTCATCAGACAAAAGATAATAATTTAGAAAAACAGAATGGTTCTGCCAGAACCTGCGTTAGTCAGATCTCAGTCTACAGAACTGGACCCACCTCTCGGCTCCAGACACTTCTTGTTTTTGTAGGATTTGTATATCACAGACATTTACGTCTCACATCAGCCCTGGTTGAAACGTGACAATGTAGAACGGTAAATGTAAAAACGTTTAAGTGGCGTTACGTTGACTTTTTTAAAAACTCCCATAAATTAAAGCATGTTTAAGATTGTCTGTTATTTTTGTTGTACGTGTGTGAAAAACCAAAGAGCTGTGCAGCCCGTGTGCACCGTGTTTAATGTTAAATCTGTTTCCTCTCAGACTGCTGGCGGTCGTAACGTTGGGAAACACCACTCGGTCTCTAAAAGACTGCACAAAGGGTTAAATCATGTCATCTGGACAGTTTATTTTTGGGAGAACGTTTCGTCTGTCATCTGAAATACTTCATCTGTCTGAGACCTGCCAACCAGATCCGTCTTATAAATAGCTCCTCCTTGACGTGTTTCAACCCAGCCTGCTGTGGAATTCCCAGAAACTGACTTTACACATGGAAAAAGGAACGATCCGTCCAAAACGATCGATCATCAGGCATAACAATCAAATGTTTTAGGCCTGATGGCTAAACTGCTACTTACAGAAACAGCCTGAGGACACCTGGCCAGAATGGTTCAGAAAAAGGTTACAATGAGGAGCTATTTATAAGACAGAGCTGGTTGGCAGGCCTCAGACTGAAGAAGTCTTTCAGATGAAAGACGAAATGTTTCTCCCAAAAAGAAACTGTCCAGATGACTCGATTTCACCTTTTTGTGATTTATCTACCTGGATGATTGAGCTTTCATATTCTTTCTCTCAAAGATCGTCTCTTCTCCTCTTCTCACCTGTTTCACCTCTTTGCTGTTGCACGGCTCCATCCTGACCTTTGACCCTGCTGTGAAGGCAGAAATTGCCAGACAGAGGTCCTGCTGCTGAATCAGCGGCTCCAACAGCTCCCATTTCTGAAACACACACACACCAAAAAAAAAAAACAACCAGGAGTGTGGTGACCGATGCTGACTGCTACTAAAGTTTCCACTGATTTTATTTTCTGAAAACGTTAAGATTTGTGTAAAATTCAGAAGAAAACAACTTTTACTTTTTTGGCTTTCCATGATGTAAAAATCTTTCAGCTAGTGTTCATCTTCTCGTCTCAGTGAAGATGAACACAGAGCAACAGATTTTTTATCCGTGTGTGTGTGTGTGTGTACACATTTGTGAGTACTTTTTGCAAAATACTTCACAAATCACTGAGCAGACTTTAATGAGACTTAAAGGTTCATTTGATGAACATCTATAGCTGATTACCTTTTGAGTCAACCTACTTCAAGATGGTCGCCACATCATACCCCCCCTCTACCCCCCGCCATACACACGTGTAGTTCTGACCTGCTGCCGGGGCCTGCTGGCCTTGCAGTCTGCCAGTCCGAGGCTGTTGGTCCCACGGGTCTCCAGACACAAAGCTCCCTGTTTGAGCAGGCTGAAAACCGTCTCCTGCTCAGGGACCCTGAGGACACCAGAGACAGAGAAGTGAGGCCAATTCAAGCTCTGACTGTTGTCTCTCTCTGCTCCTTACATGTTCCTCTGAACTCAGACCATTATAGCCAGTGCAATTACATTTATACAATGAGCACATGCACTTAGAGATGAGAGAGGGCAGACGGAGAAAATCTCTCCTGCAGCTTCTAGAGAAGAAAAAAGCAGGAAGTGTGTGTCGTTTTATTGTTGTGGCCTCCTGATATAAGAGTAATGCATACGGCATATTATACGCCCACCAGCAAACCGTTATACAGTAAAATGTAGCAATGGCCCCAACAAACAACGGCCTTTTACTTCATTTGACCTTGATTTGTGACCTTGGAGCTGGGGTGATGAAAAGATTATGCAATACCCCGTCTAGTGATGATGCACGTGGGTATAAAGGTTTGTTAAATTATCTTGAGCAGATCAGAAATTATAAGCGGAACAAGAGAAAGTTTACAGATGGCGTTTTTGTCTTATTACGTCCTGCCTTTGACGAACGTATAAAAAATAAAACAACGTCACTTAATGCTGACTGACCGTCACGACGTGTTGAGAAAGTCGGTTATCATCTGATGATCATCTGATGATCGTCTGATGAAGATACGACTGCATGTCTGTTTCATTATGCTCAAGTTTCTTTATCCATCCATCCAATATCTTTACCCGCTTGTTCCATTTTGGGTCACGGGGGTCGCCGTTGCCCATGTCCAGCAATCACTGTGCGAGGGGCGGGGTACACCCTGGACATGTCTCAAGTCCATCACAGGGACATATAAAGACAAATGAGACAAACAACCATTCACTCTCTCACTCACACCTAGGGACAATTTAGAGTTACCAATCAGCCTAACATGCATGTTTTTGGTCTGTGGGAGGAAACCGGAGCACCCGGAGAAAAACCCACGCATGCACGGAGAGAACATGCAAACTCCACCCAGAAAAGCCCCTGGACCGGGGGTTTGAACCAAGGACCTGCTCGCTGAGAGGCAGCAGCTCTACCAGTTGCGCCATCGTGCTGCCTCAAGTTTCTTTAGTGCAGCTGAAACAGATTTTACAACTTTTTATGAAGTTTATTTTTCAGATCAACTCTAAAGACTTTCTGAGGTAGCTTCAACCCCCTCCCTCTCTGCTGTGCTTCTGCTCTGCTCTAAAGCTGCTCTAAAGCTGTGGAGGTAAACAGTAGGATTATCAGCCCAACGGGATCATTTCAGAGTGTTCACACAGAACAAGTTCCACTCTGAAGCTTTTCAAAGGTTCTAACGGTGGTAACAGAACATCAGGCCTGTAAACAAAATGCTGCACTTCTTTAAATCATCGCACCTCAGCTCAGGGTAGACGTTCTCCATGTACCAGCGGAAAGGTTTGCAGTTCAGTTTCCGCCGCAGAGTTAAACGATCTGCAATGCTGCAAGGAAAAACAAACAGAGACCAGATACAAGGAAGAAAAACAAAATGGAAGAAGAGAGATGAGTGAGAAATAGAGATGGAGAAGTTGATGCAATATTTCTCTTCATGATTTGTAGCATTTGGGGTAAAAAACATAAACACTAACCTGCCGAAGGCCTTGCCCTGAGCAGACGGCCGGGCAGAGTAGTAGTACTGTTTGTACTCGTCCATCCAGACCTCAGCAGCCCGCCGAGTGTTCCTGTAGAGAGAGACACACACACACGAGCCATCAAACATAAACCCTGCTTTCAGTTGAAAAAAACAAGATTAAAAAAATTAAGAAAAATATTGTTTTGTATTTTTTGGCTAAAATTAATTGTCTTTGGTTCATGGTAATATGTGAGAAATGTAAATACCCCCCACAACCACCACCACCACCACCATAACCATAATTCATTCCTTAGTTGAAGCAAAATTCATGGGAAAAAGATGCAATGTGATTGCTGATCTAGTGATCTATGATCGATTATTCTGGTCTTGGAGGTTAAAAGCCACAGAATGATGCAGTAAAATGATAATACATTTAAATGCATTTTTTTAATGTTACTTTTCTGACTACAGTTGTTTACAGCAGTCCCTCACTACTTCGCGGTTAGTTTTTCGTGGACTCGTTCTATCGCGGTTTTTCAAAATACGATTGGACATGAATCACAAGTGGCTGATTGATGGATGAGATGCACGACCGGCATGGAATTTTTATTCAAAACAAATTATTTTAAATGATTTAGCACCTGTTGCACCTCTGTGCAGCCCACACTGCTGGATAAGCTTCCTCCTGCAGCTGATCAGCTGTTCTTCGTGCAGACTGCAGAGCGGAGGAGTGGGCGTGGCCAAGAGCGCTTGCATGTGGCAAAGAGCAGAGGAGGCAGGGAGCTGAAATCATGACATTCTGCGCTCTTTTAGAGTATTTAGAGTTTAGAAACTTTGTTTAGAATATTGCCAGAGTGTGGGAAGGGTTCACTTGTCGCTGGTCTTCAGGGTATGGATCCCCCGCGATAAACAAGGGACTACTGTACAGTCTTTAGAGTGGTACCATTTCAAAGTTTATGTTTTGAAAGTTTATTTAAAGATCGTGTCTCGATTGGTTATGTCTGAGTTAGCACAGGAGAAACGTGTCGCTTCTGCTCGTCCATTACAACACTGGAAGTGACAGAAGTAGCACCGTGTCTGTGTCTGTTTTCACTATTTCTCTTTACAGGGGTGTAACAGAGACACGTCAGGTTTTAGCGTATGAAGGTCGTGTTGTCACAGAAACATTCAGATGGTGGAACCAGATAAAACGGCTCCCTTTCCTTCGACAGTCAGACGAAATGCTTCGGCTGAAGTGTTTGTTTACATGTGACTGAAGTCAGCTGAGTCATGTGACCTTTAGAAGAGCAACCTGTTACAAGACAGTAAATGGTGATATTAGCTCAGTCCACTCACTTAATGTAGGTAAGAGCGTTGCCTTCTGGGAAGTCGTACGGGTGCCGTTTCCTGAACACATGACCCACACGGCTGCAGGGGAGAATCTCCAGACTTCCCCCACACATCCAGACCCGGAACGAAAGTTCTGCAGGAGAACAGGAACTCGACATGAGAAAACGTTTGCCGATATGTCATTAAATTCTTCCTGTTTGTCTCAGTTTATTTATCTGCGTATGTGTCCACAGTGGACCGATGAACGTCATCACCTGCTACATTTTCACAGCTGGCGCATGGCTACCCACAAAAAAATCTGTGAAGTTAGCGTCTCTTTGGGCTGCGGCGCTTGAGACTAGCCAGACTCAAAATGGCAAGAAAATAAATAAGATTCCTGTTGCTGTTTCACTGCATTTTGAACAAATGTTCAGCAAGTTGCAGCTACTTTGTGTGACCAGTTTAAGAAAATCCTGGTGTATTTTCATGTGTCTGGTTTGAAAAACTACATTCATGGGCGCACACGTTATTTTCTTGCCCACCATGACAGCAGCCCACATGTTTATGATTTAATCTAATGGAGTACACTTTAGAAATGAAGACAGATACATCTCGATTAGGTGGTTTTTTAAATTATAATTATTCATAACTGATGCAGTTTTAAGACCGGAGCATTCTTTCACCAGTTATTTGACGATCTTAATAAGATTTATTTGACTATATTTATGTTTTATTTCTAGAACACTTGTAAAGGTGTCTGTTTTTTCTTACAGCCTGGGCCAGCTGCTCCTCAGCGGAGCACTTGAAGCGACATGAGAGTGGTGTACTTCAGCTGCTTCTCTGCATAAACAGGCCCACTAAGTTCTGACCAATCACACAAGACTTGCTGCAAACCCCTGCATGAACAAACTTCTGCCAGGAGCTTGAGCACAGAAAGGTCCAGCCTGCAACAGAAGTCCAGATACTTTGTGTGCGTGCTTTAATTTTAAATGTCCTGGATGACTGAAAATCTAGACGAGCGCGTTGCAGTGATTTAAAACAAATAATAAATCAATAAACGTATAACGGTTTGTAGAGTTTGGACCTAGAAATGCAGACAAAATATGAGAGACTCAAGAGTCACGATTTCAATAGAGAACAGTAGGCCGGCGAAGCAACAATTAAAGAAAACCGGACATCATATGACGAGGGCACGCAGAGACAGACGGGCTGTAAGAATGAGTTTAAGAAGGCTGGCGCTGAGGAGGTGATTACAAACAGGTGGCTTGATAGTAACAGGGAACAGGTGAAGGTGGTGGTGCAGACCAGAGAAGGAACAACCCTTACAAGAGGAATGGTTTGTAGTTTTGGAGCCGAGTGTTTTTCTGGACTATTCCACCATAACTTAACCTTGGGCCACAACAACATTTATTTTTAAGAAATTTAAAAGCTAGAAATTATAGTTTCCTCAAATGATGGGGTGGCTGGTTTACATATACGTACAAATGGTGGCAGCCATCTTGGATTTTGAAGTAGCAACCCAGTTAATGCTGATCTTTCTTACAGATGTAGCCACACACCAGAATGGAAGTTGGTACCTCACTTACTTTTCAAGTTATGCTCACAACGTGCACAGATGGAAGGTATTCCAGTTTCCTTCTTTGTTTCAAGACAGGGGACAACAATAAACACAAAAAAACTACCACCACCCCGATCCTGACTAAATGACCCAATTAATGACATTTATATGCGTTTGTGTGTGAAATGAGCTTACCAAAGTTCTCCCCTCCCCAGATGTCCATGTGTGTGTCGTACTGGCCCAGGTGGTTGAACCAGCTCTTATCCATGACAAAAATCCCTCCTGCGATGACGGGAGTCCTGAGAAGGAAGAAGGCTTCACTTACAATCACACACAAATACATTTCCCCTTCAACATGGGGAGGGTTTATCCTCAGGGGAAAAGTTACAAACATTTCTGTGTTAGAAAATTCACACATTTATTCAAAATGACTCGTCCACACCATCGTGTTAGAAAAGGAAGTTTCCTCCAAACTAAGGCTTGCAGATCAGAATGTAATAAAATAATCATCTGCTTCTTATCAAAGATAGATAAATGAATCATCAGTTAAACAACGCAGCCCTGAAAAAACACTTAAAATTATCATCTTCTGCATGATTAAGATTTTGGGACAATTTATTTGAAATCAACATGTCAAACAAATATGTAAAGAAAAGTGAAGAAAAAATATTAAAATAAATAAAGTAACTAACAAGGTAAACAAAAAAACAAGCCATGTTCTCCCCAGTTTATTTTGTTCTTGTTTTGAGAATCAAAACAGATTTTCTTCTTTATTTTTTGCAGGTTCTGTCCTGGCCGTGGAACACTGGACCAGCTCTTTACCCTCACTAGGGTCCTCGAAGTTTGCCCATCATGTGTTTTGTGAACTTGGAGAAGGCTTTCACCCGTGTTTCTAGGGGTACACTGTGTGGGGGGCTCCGTGAGCCCTTAATCATCTTAATCACGTAGAAGCCTGATTAAGATCTGTTTTTTTATTTTTGTTTGTTTGAAATAATTTTTCTGATTGGACCCTGCTGTCTGACAAAGGGCCTCACGTTTGACTCCAGAATTGTTAGTCCTCAGAGGAGTTCATGGTCAGTTCAATGACTGTAAGAAGAGTATATTGTGTGATTTTAAAACAAGCCCAAATCATCAGCCTTCCGCCTCCGTGCCTTACAGTTGAAGTGAGCTGTTTGTGCCTGTATGCAGTGGTTGCTGTCCACCAAATGTGGTTAAGCATTTCAGCTAAACATCTTTGTTTGGCAAACCCTGTTTGTCAGTTTATTCAAATGTAACTTTTCAAACCTGACTCTACGCTGCAGAGCTTCCCCAACCGTTATCCAAGGAGGGCGGCCTGTCCCACCATAAAGATCATGGCGCATGTAAAAATTAACATACATCTGTACGTGTTCACACAAGAGCGCAGACAGACCGACAGAAGGTATTTTGTTTCCAATTCCCCTTTTTTGCTTCGCGGCGGAGACAAAAACGAGGTTATCACCATCAGAAACACCCACCTGATGGGCTGCGTGGGATCACTTCTCGCCATTTTCTGCTCAATAGGAATCTGCTCCCATTTGAAGTGGAGACTCCAGTCAAATCCTGAAACACAAAATTAAATCCGCTTTAAAATTCAATTGTGTTTCCTGAAAATATCTCCTATAGAAACTGATGAAACAGACAAGTTTTTTGTTGATTTTGACTGAAGGAAATTACACAATTTATATATTCATTCATGTTTATTGTGTGAATGTTTATGAAGCATTCACTCTATTGTGATCCATTTTTCTTCTGTACATTTTTCAGCTTCTTTCTCGTTCCACAATTTTTGTGCTATTTCAACAAATCATCAAAACGTTCAGCTCTTTCAGAACAATCGTGCTATGACTTTTTGGTATTGTTGTAACTTTAGTGTTTGGAAATATTTATCCTGTTCTGCCATTTCAGCTACTATTTAGTTGTTTTATGCTAATTTTAGCTATTTTGGCTAATTATTTCAATTCAATTCAACAATACTTTATTAATCCCAGAGGGAAATTAAATGTTGTGGTAACTCATCATCCTGGTTTCATTAAAGAGATGTTCTGGATGCTGATGGCTGTGGGCAGGAAGGATCTCTTGAAGCATCTGTGCTACAACAGATCTCAAGAAGCCTCTGACTGAAGACACTTTGTTGTTGTATGACAGTCTGATGAAGAGGATGCTGAGGGTTGTCTATAATGTTCTTCATTTTATGAAGAATCCTTCTTTGTACAATCATCTCCAGAGGTTCTAGAGGAGTCCCCAGAACTGAGCCAGCCTTCTTTATGAGCTTGTTGATCTTTTTGAAGTCACTTGCTCTGGTGCTGCTACCCCAGCAGATGATGGCAGAAGAGACAGCGCTCTCTACAACAGACTTATAGAAGATATGCAGCATATTGCTGCAAACGTTGAAGGACTTCAGCTTCCTCAAGAAGTACAGTCTGCTCTGTCCCTTCTTGTAGACGGCTTCACTGTTGCATCTCCAGTCCAGTCTGTTGTCCAGGTGAACCCCAAGGTATTTATACTTCTCCACCACCTCCACTTCTTCTCCCATGATGGAAATAGGGTTGGACCTGTTCCTGTTTCTCCTGAAATCTACAATCATCTCCTTTGTTTTTTCTTTTGCACTCATTTCAACTTTTTTTCAGCGTAATTCAGTAAAAATGTGCTCTCACTTCTTCCTTCTGGAAGTTTCTTTCTGCTTTTTTTGGCTATTTTTCAGCTGTTTATTTATTTTTTGCTAATTTTAGCTTTTTTCAGATAATACCCACTTCTTTGAGCTCATTTTTGCTTCTTTCAGCTTAACTGGGCAAACATGTTTTTTCTGCTTTCTTCTGCTAACTTAAGCTTGTGCTACCTTTTCAGATAACTTTTAGCATATTTAGTTACTTTCAGCTGTTTTCAGAAAAAATTAAGTTTTTCATGTTAATTTCTGCTACTTTCAGCCTAATTAACTTCTTTATGCTAATTGCAACTTGTTATGCTCCTTTCAGCTTTTTCTGCTCTTTCAGCTACTATTTAGCTCTTTTGATGCTAATTTTAGCTTTTTCAGTTAATTCTGTATTTTTTTAGCTCATTTCAGTTCTTTCCAGCTTCTTTTTGCCCTTTCAGCTACTTTTCAGCTATTGCTTGTTAATTTCAGCTTTTTAAGCTAATTTCCTAATTTCTGTGCTCATTTCTGCTAATTTAAACCTAATTCAGCAAATATGTGCTCTTTCTGCTTTCTTCTGCTAACTTAAGCTTATTCTTCCATTTCAGCTACATTTCAGCATGTTTTTAGCTAATTTCAGCTGTTTTTCAGCAAGTTCTTCTGCAATAAGCATATTTCTAAAATCAAAAGGTGACCAATGAAACACTGCAAATTTAAATCTAGTTTATGTTTGGCTCCGTCTTTCTGTTTTTATCGTGGGTAATGGGTCCTGGTAGAGTTGTGATGACGTGTAGTGTTTTGTGTGTGTGCTTGTGTGTATTTGGACCGGACCTCCTCTCAGGTCGGCAGAAGCAGCCAAGTAGGCAAAGTTATCCAGGCTGATGACATCGATGATGGGGCTGACCACTCGTGTGTGATCCTGGGAGAGGAAACAAACATCAAATTATTACAAGAATAAATTTGTAAGCAAACAAACAGTGGAATATTTTAGTTTACCAGAAATACTGAGGCCTAATTATCCAACTTTATATCTATGTTTTCATTCAACCATTCTGGACGACGGACCTGCATCCAAACTTTAATTATTAATACTGAGAGTCAAACAAAGAGAAAACTTGTATATTTTCTCAGTAATATGTGTGAACTTCAGGTTGTTTAACATAAATTGTGACTCATTAAAAGCTTTATTCTGATTAATATGTGAGCCTTAATGTACCGTCACACATGGACAGATCATCGGCTAATATATAAAAATATAAATATAAATATAAATATATATATATATATATATATATATATATATATATATATATATATAATATTTCCAGATTTGCTGTCATCATGATTTTGTATTACTTCCATACAACGCTGAGAAAAAAATAACAAGTCTCTTATTTGGTATTGGATCACAACCTTGAAATATTTGTTCTGGTCTAATTAAGACAAATAAATTGGATTTTAATAGACGGGAATTATTACATGAATGAACAATTTCATGTAAAAACATGACCTGTCTGCCTGACCTCCTCTCTGTGCAGTTTATCTAGATCAGTTTGTGAGTCTAACCCTGAGAGAAATCTGTAAAGAAAATTTTTCTAAGCAGTATACTTTACATCTGTTGGGCTTTGAACTCACCTCTGGAGCTCTAAGAGCCTAAAGAAGCTGTACTGATGAGCTCTAAATGCTGCAAAGGCTCTTTACAGCACAGCGTTCAAGATAAATACATGTGAATAAAAACCTTCCGGAATTGGGAATGCTTTTTGTGAATGCAGACTTTTTATCATTTCCACACGAAACATGATGAGATTATTCTTTGTTGTTGAATAAATAATCACAGGAATTGCCACGTTACATTTCAAAGTGTCACTTAACTAACACAACTGCCTGCCATACCAACACCTCTTTTGTCTCCCAGTTTCAGCTCATCAGCAACACACAGCTGATGTGAATGGACCAGGCCAGTCTTCAAGCTTCTGTGTTATCGTCCTGTCATTGTTGGGTATGGAGTGTTTGGCCAGACTCTTTCTTTACTTCTTTTCTGTTGTGGTCGTTAGCAAAATGCAGGTAAATAAAACGTGCCTGCTCTGGACTGAACTCGTTGAAAGTGTCTGTGCAGACGTAAAGTCAGAACTATCATGAAACCCTGGCGATGCCAACCTCATGCAACGTTGACTCCAAGCGACAGGCACAAGGTCACACTTGGTTTTTCTCATCCTTTATCCCCCACGTGGACGATTCCACTTCACTTTAAGCTCAGGTCCTCTAGGAGGCCTGGGAGCTTCTGTTCAGTATCTTAGCTGTTCCTGTTCAGGTGTGCAACTGCTCAGTGAGACAGGTGGGGGCAAGACCACTTAGAGCTTCAACAACAAATAAAACAACTTTTAAATGAATTTGAAAATGTACTGGCAGTCAGTCCAGTGCAACTAAACTGTCACAACCTGTTCTCTTGGACCAGTCCAACAACATGCAGCAGCACTTTGGACTCTCAGAAGATAAGAAACAGAGGACACACTGACCCCTGTATGCACTGTAAAGAGTGTGTTGGAGTAATCCAACCGAGTGGTGACAAAGAAGGGATTAAAATGCTGCCTAGAAATAACAGGCTTTACTTGAGGCAGCTGCCTTATCTGAAAAAGCTTGGTATAACCACAGCTCTGATCTGTTTGGGGAGCTCAGGATCAGCATCCAATTTGATCCTCAAGTTTGTGAAGGTTGGCTTGTTGTATTGGGCCAAAGCACCACAACAAATTCTTATTCAGGTTTAAGAAATTCAGTGCAATCAAGGCCTTTATGTCATTTAGCTTAGCAGTGGCGCTGCAGAATGTGTTCCTTTTCTAAGGGGGAACATAAATCTGGCAGTCATCCGTGTACAGGTTAAATGTAATGCTGTGTTTTCATGAAACCCAGTGGAAGCAAATATAGACAAAAGATGAGGGGACCTAAAACAGAGCCATGTGGGACTACCCTCCCTCCATGAGGAAGGAGCAGAGGAGGATACATGGTCACCGAGGCTCATGTATATATTTTACTTGACCAAGCAGGCTCTGAACCCTCCAACTGTGACCCTGACGCCCACAAACTGCTCCAGATGTCAGAGTAAACGATGCTCCCCTGTGTCAAATGCAACAGTTGGGTCTGAAAGCACAAGAACAGTCACCAGCGTCTGCGGCAACAAATATGTTGCTACAAACTGTCCCCTGTCCCAGAGAGATTTAAATAGTGAATGTTTTGTAATTTTGGAGTTGAGTGTTTTTGTGGACTGGAATTAAAACAGAATGCAAGAAAACCTTAATGTTTTTGGTGCAAGATATTTAGGTGGGTATTTTTTTTCCCACATTTACATATGTTCATGTATGGGGGCAGCCATCTTGGATTTTGACGTGGCAACCCATTTTTCAAAAGGAACCTTTTGTACACTTAGATGCAGCCACACACCAAAAAGAAAGTTAGCACAATGCCCATTTTTCAAGCTATCATGCTCATGACATGGACAGATGGAGGGCATTTTCAATTTCCCCTCTTCGCTCCACCATAGGGGGCAAAAAATTCTGATTCAGTGATGTGTAGGAATTTAAAATCGGATTAAATCCTCTAAAATATTTGCTCTTTCTGAAGGGCCATGAATTGATGATTATAAACTATCTCCTTAAAGATCTTTGAAAGAAAAGGAAGTTCTGAAATAGGCCTGGAGTTAACAGGAACTGTAGGATTAAGAGAAGGTTGTTTAGAGGTTGGACGACTGCATGTTTCAAATCAACAGGGACCACAGCTGAAGACTGACTGCTGTTAACAAGAACATGAGGCCCGACAGTTGGGAAAACCTCTTTAAATATTTAAGGAGGCACATCATTATTTGGAAAGCCCCCAAGCTTTAAATATTCAAGATACTGCAAGGAGGACAAGTGGCGCTTTGCCACTGTCTGTGCACTCATCGGTTCCACTGCTGTACCCACCCCCACTCTGCCCGGTTTATGAGACCACCTTGTTGGTCGTTCCAAGCGTACTGCTCCGAGATGACGATTTTGACGTAGGCAGCGTTGATTGGCCAGCGGAGCTACGTCACTGGATGACCCGCCCAGCAAAATCATGGTGTTATTTTTCCTCGTTTCTGGTAATGGAAGCTCCAAAAATGGTGTCATAGGCCAGGGCTATTCAAATGGTGGCTCGCGGGCCAGAAGTGGTGGACCCAAAACCAAAACAGTGTTCCTGTGAAAAGAAGTATAGTTTCCATCTCCTACCTACAGATGAGGAAGAATGTAAGAAGAATAAGAAGAATGTGGATGAAAAATGTGAACTTGAAGAGACCATCCAAAACAGCGGATGGAGGAAAACCTGCATCCTGCTTTGTGTCTGGACTACAATAAACCACCGGAGAAGAGACGCTGGTTCCTCAGAAGGATTGAAAACAGTATTATGATATGATTTCAAGTGTATAGAGGGCACAGCACTAAAATTTTTGTTTGTCTTCTGTATTATGATTTTCTCTGCAATGAACCCAGGCTCAGTGATGGAGGACTTTAAGGCTTTGGCTGGTCTCAATGTCTGATTTAAGGTAAATAAGAATTTGCCCCACCTCTTTTAACAAAACACCACCGACCTTATTACTGTGTAGATACTGATACACGTCAGAACTTTTCAGGTTGTTCATCTCTTCACTGTCGGAAGAACCGTCAATGAATAGCTAAATATGCTAGTAGATGTAGCTAAATATGCTAACAGATGTAGCTAAATATGCTAGTGCATGTAATCTGCAGCCACTTCTTCAGCTTGTCCTCCATCCCTCGTCCTCAGCAGGCAGCAGTATGATTATATTGTCCTGTCTGAGCTCTGACAGGTGGTGTTCCCACATGTTTACATTAAATCCACAATGCTCTGAGAAAATACATTAGCTCGTACTGTTTGCACATAAACAAATGCTGGTTCTTGTCTGCACTGGAAGTCGCGCCCATAATTCACGCAAGGCAGCATGGGGGCTAGGAATAAGGTGGATAAAGCGTCTAGTTGTGCATGTCATCCTGCTTTCCTCTTCGGATACAGAGTTCCTTGAGTTAATTCACAGAAAGCAGAAAAATGGGAGATTCCTTCGAGGACATAAACGACAACAAACAAGTGGTTTAGTTTTATGAAGTACATAAATATAGTGCACATTATAAAATCAAAGAAGCAGTTTTGTTTGAATTCTCCAGTACAGGCATCACTGAATTTAGTCTAAAATGTTTTGGTGGAACGAACCTCCTACAGCGCAGCCAAGAAACGCCAACATCTTCCACCTAAAACCTAAACTCCACTACACTGTGTCTGAGCGGACGAGCGTGAAGCACGGCCGTGTGTTCTTCTACCTCCTTGACTCTCTGGATCATGGGCTGCAGCCAGTCGGTGTTGACCTCACAGTGGCTGTCCAGGAAGGTCAGAACCGAGGCCGAGGCCGTGTTGGCTCCTCGCACTCGCGATCGAATCAAACCTGAAGGAAACACGACACCAGAGTTTCAAGCCTCAAACAGGAAGAGTCTGACAGCGTGGATGTAGTGAAGCAACGTGTTTTGATCCCGGAGCTCCAAAGATACCAGCGGGTACTGATCCAAAACATGATTTAGGTCAAAGTTAAAACTATTGAGTAGTTTTAAACTTTCTAAAATTTTTGAAAATCTCTAATCATAGAAATCAGGTGAAATAAAACGAAACGGCAAAAACAGTGTTTTTAAAATCTTACCCAGACAATTAATCTTCCTGTTCAGAAGTCCTTCCAAAACATCCTTTTTATATCAGGAAGCGAATAATTAAATTATACATTGTTTTAACTTTCTACAGTTTGGATTTTGCACGTAGTGAGTAGTTTGTCTATAAACTATTTGGATAGTTCTGTGTTTGGATCTTGACTTTCTGTTCAGTCTGTTAAAACACTGGTGAGAAGAGTGAACCAAACATTTATCTGTGATGTTCTGGTGCCATGATGGCTTGTAAAAAGAAATAATACGCAGGTGCTGGTGACGGTGCAGACTTCAGTGATAGCACCAGAACATCAGAGGGCTCAGGATGCAGAAGAAAACTAAAAACTGATTTACTTTAAATGCACAAAAACAAAAAGCTAAACTCTAGAGGGAAACGACACAGGAAGGCATGAGGGAGCACGAGCAGGACCGAGACATATGAACGTTTGAAGACAATGAACCGCTCTGGGAGTATTGATCAGAAATTATATAAAAGGAATGGAGGGAGTGGAAAGTGGCAGCACATGGGTGATTGATCATGGGAAGGTGAGAGTGATACGCTGAACGAGAAGCATTGTGGAGGCTGGATGAGGGTGAGAACTGGCACAGGGAACACAGCGGACTGAACCAAAACACAAGGGACATAAAAACATAAACCACAAAGAGAAATAAGACAAAAGGATGAACTGAAGGGACTAAATCAAAATAGAAAAACAAACTATGACAGTGTTAGTGTTTAATAAGATTGGACTTGTTTTAACACAAATCATCACATGGTAAAACTTAAAAGTTGACAATGTTTCCAAAAAGAACAAATGTCACATTTCATAGTGAGGAACAATAGGAATCCATGCGAAGACATGACTGGAAAAACAATAAAAATGTTTTAAAACTAATCATGAGAAGTGCAGCATCAGACCAACTCGTACAAGCAGCTCATCGTATCACATAAACAGCACCGGTGGAAGTTATTTATACTCTTGGTGTTTCATGTTTTACTTTGTTTATCTTCCTATAAAAACCACATGTGGACCATAGGAATCACACCTGGACCATAGAAACCACACCTGGACCATAGAAACCACACCTGGACCATATAAAACACACCTGGACCATAGGAATCACACCTGGACCATAGAAACCACACCTGGACCATAGAATCTACACCTGGACAATATAAACTACAATTGGACCATAGGTACTACACCTGGACTATAGGAACTACAACTAGACTATAGGAACTACACCTAGACTAAAAGGAACTACACCTGGACCATAGGAACTACACCTAGACTATAGGAACTACACCTAGACGAAAAGAACTACACCTGGACTATAGGAACTACACCTAGACTATAGGAACTACACCTGGACCATAGAATCTACACCTGGACAATATAAACTACAATTGGACCATAGGAACTACACCTGGACTATAGGAACTACACCTAGACTATAGGAACTACACCTAGACTATA